CCCGGGAGGGGACAAGGGACACAAACAGATCCTTGTGCTGTCCTGCTCTGCGTTTCATTGCCTGTCCAGGGATGGAGGGGAGCACTGGGGGCAGCGTTGGCACAGGGATGGCACAAACCACTGTCCCCTGCCTGACCCCAGAGCGGGTTTTCCCACCTTCCCAAGCGTGCGGTGAAAAATCAAGGAGGAAACCCAGAAAACATCTGGGTCCATCCCTTCTCACAGCACGAGGTGAAAAATCAGGGAGGAAAACCCAGAAAATTCCTGAGTCCGTCCCTTCTCAGAGCACAAGGTGAAAAATGAGGGAGGAAAACCCAGAAATCTCGTGGGTCCATCCCTTCTCAGAGCACAAGGTGAAAAATTGGGGAGGAAAACCCAGAAAATTCCTGGGTCCATCCCTCCTTCTCACAACATGAGGTGAAAAATCAGGGAGGAAAATCCAGAAAGCAGCTGGGTCGGTCCCTCCTTTCCATAACACGAGGTGAAAAATGAGGGAGCAAAACCCAGAAAATTCTTGGGTCCATCCCTCCTTTCCAGAGCACGAGGTGAAAAATCAGGGAGGAAAACCGAGAAATCTCCTGGGTCCATCCCTCCTTCTCACAGCACGAGGTGAAAAAATCAGGCAGGAAAACCCAGAAAATTCCTGGGTCCATCCATCCTTCCCAGAGCATGAGGTGAAAAATCAGGGAGCAAAACCCAGAAAACAGTTGGGTCCATCCCTTCTCACAGCACGAGGTGAAAAATCAGGGAGGAAAACCCAGAAAGCTCCTGGGTCCATCCCTCCTTTCCACAACACGAGGTGAAAAATGAAGGAGGAAAACCCAGAAAATTCATGGGTCCATCCCTCCTCAGAGCACAAGGTGAAAAATGAGGGAGGAAAACCCACAAAACATCTGGGTCCATCCCTCCTTCTCACAACATGAGGTGAAAAATCAGGGAGGAAAAGCCAGACAGCTCCTGGGTCCATCCCTCCTCAGAGCACGAAGTGAAAAATGAGGGAGGAAAACACAGAAAGC